GATGCTCCACTCTCATACACCTTCCCCTTGTTGCACATCTTGTCACCCATCACAGAGAGTGTGCAGTTGCCACCACAGAAAGAAGGAACACTGTCCCATACATGACAAAAGGTAGTCATATCAGGATTGCAAAGTCAGAGGGATGCTCTAGTCCCAGGTCAGTCATAGTTACATGTCTTAACCCATTGTGTGACCATGCAGCTGTTCCTCCCCAGCTCACCTTTGATTTGGTCCCTGTTCACTTGTCAGGTGTTTCATGACCTTTCTGGGGAGATAAGAATGGATGGCTCTTTGCCCTAAATAAAGTGCTGACAACAGACCAAAGAAACAGTCCCACCCAAGTTTGGCTTGGGGATCTAGTGAGTTTAATGGGATTACTTAGGAGATCATGGGTGATAGCTGATGAAAATTATCTTCCTGGTGCTTCCCACTTTTAACTTGAAGGCAGTGCCACAAGAGTTCTCTCCCTCAGCAGGTGCTTACTGTTTTCACCTTGGGGGTCAGGGTAATATATGGGTATTATAACTCTGAGCTGCCTGAGTCTTGTAAGTTCCTGAAACTTCCTGAGCCTTGTAAGTTTAATTAGTTTTCATGGCTTTATGAGCCTTCCTCTTACCTCCAGGAGAGAAATGGCTATACACAGGCTATCTAGATCTACTAAATACAGTAATTTAAGTCCAATTGATAGTCTGAAGATTATTTTCCAGAAAATAGGCAGATCACCATCTTTCTGTAGGTAAGAAAGAAAAACTAACTTTGTCTTTTAAGGTCCAAAATTAGATAATATTTCATGTCCTTTAGATTTCTGTTCTCAAGAGAACTGAGTTAGGGCCATTGCTATGCAGCACTTTCAGATAAGGGACAGAGAGAGCTGAACCAAGCACGGTAAAGAGGCCTTATCTTCCCCATGTTTCCTTTCTAGTCATTTTCATGTGTCCCAAGAATGCGAACTAACTTTGTCTTTTAAGGTCCAAAATTAGATAATATTTCATGTCCTTTAGATTTCTGTTCTCAAGAGAACTGAGTTAGGGCCATTGCTATGCAGCACTTTCAGATAAGGGACAGAGAGAGCTGAACCAAGCATGGTAAAGAGGCCTTATCTTCCCCATGTTTCCTTTCCAGTCATTTCCATGTGTCCCAAGAATGCATGCTCCAGACACCAGGCTCAGTCTTAGAAGGGTCTTTGTAGATAATTTGTTTCAGTGACTCTTCTAACCAAATTGTCTACTCTTGACCTGGTTTGATGTACTCTCTGTAGTATTATGATACCACAGTTTTATCTCACTGTAGAGCCTTTCCAAGGACAGGCACTGATGAAAGATAATAAACATAGAAGGGCCACAAATTACAGAACATTATACATACAGTAGAGCACATCCCATGAACTGCAGAAAAAAATACATCTTCCATGTTGTCTCCATTAATGCTTGACATTTGTACAGTGCATTTTAATACACAAAGCTCCATTGCATTAGAGTGATTGTCTGCAAGGGTTTTGCCTTTTACAGGGCCCCTTGTGTGTGTGAGCTCATGAAATTCTTAAGAGTAACTCCAGTGACTTGCAGATCTGGAGCTGGAACCTGCTGCTTTGGGTACCTGATCTGGAGGTCTGCCCTGCTCTGCCTTGCCTGTTCCTTCTTACCCACCATGGAACAACTCCCCCTCTCCTCATTCCCATCATTGTGACCTTGTTTCCTCCATCTTACCTTTAGAGGCTGCTAAAGTAAATGCATAACAAGCAACAGAAATCTCAACTTGTGAGTCTGTAGGGCATTTAAAACCCCTGTGGACAACTACAAGGTTATATTCTTTTTTTCCTTTGAGATGGCTTACCTTAAAGCAGTACCCTTCTTGTCAGTGCATACATTACCTGGAATCTTGTGTGTCATGCTCCCTGAAAATGATAAGAATCCCTCATCTACTTCACTGAATGTTGGTTCTCAGATTTTTTTATAATAATAGAGGTCTTTTTTATTAAGCTAGACTACCCTGGGTAGCGATTCTGGTCTTTTACTGTACAGGAGTAAGAATGTTAGGAATAAGGGAACAAATATTGGATTATTTTGGTAAATCGCTGTTGAAGATACACGGAATTACTAAGCCTGATTGAACTCTCAAATAAAAATGATTTTTTTCAAATTGCCCAGTTTTGTGTAACTTGCATTTAGATTATCCCTAAGGTGACCTGAAAGATTCCTTATGGTTCCATCACTTGGGGAACCACTAGGAATTTCCAATTATCCTTACAGTGCAATCAATAAGATTTTCCTTATTCATTTATCCAACACATTTTTCTGGACAAATAAATGATAATTAATATGATATGGTAGCTCTCCTTCCCAGATACAGAAACTCAGTTAAGTGTTCTCTGCTGTCATCATTTATGAAGCAAGTACCAGTCTTTTGCCAAACTGAGTAGGGCACAGCATGTCCCTGCTTTGAGAGCCTTACGGTCTAGTGACTCGTACAATCATCAAAAGAACAATTTTTACAACACAGTTCATGCTGTGATATGGAGAGGCACAAGTTCCTGGAATTCATCATCTGGAAGAATCTGCAAGGTGTGGTCAGAAAATAGACTGGAAGGAAGAATAGAGTTAAGCAAGTGGGAAAAGTCTTTCAGAGTGGAAATCCCTGGAAAAGCATGGCAGAGGAAAGCAGAAGCCTCGGAACAGTAATTTGAGCAATGGCTCTGAGTTGAAGTGGCAGACATGGTAGAAAAGGGAGGTTAGGAGAGATCAGATCAAGAACCTTGTATATCAAAGAGATACTCTGAGTAGGACAAAGATCACTTGAAGGACTGGAGAACTGGCCTAGTGGCTAAAGGTGCTTGCTGTTCTTACAGAAGACTGGAGTTCAGTTCTCAGCACCCATGTCAGGTGGCTCATAACCATGTGTTATTTCAGCTTCGGGCAATCCAATACCCTCTTCTGATCTCAGGAATACATACACACACACACATACACATAAGTCTTTTTTTTAAAGAAAAATCACTTTAAGGCAGAGTGAAGAGAATAGATTGAACAGAGGGCAGAGAATAGTACACTAAAAATATCCTAGGATCACCATGAGAGGCTAACTAACAATAATCCAATAGTATTGAAACCATTAGTGCATAGGTAGAACAAATGGAATTCTCACATTTAATTCTACTCAAAGAAATATAGTTCACTTAAAGATGAGCATAAAATAAATTATAAGAACTACCATGAAGGGGTGGAGAGATGGCTCAGTGGCTAAGGGTATTGGCTGCACTTGCTGAAGATCCAGGTTCAATTCCCATCACCCACAAGGTGGCTAACATCCATAACCCCAGTATCAGGGGATCTGATGCCTTCATCTGACCTCTGTGGACATTGCATGACATGGTGCACTTACATACATGTAGGCAATACACTCATACCCATAAAACAAAATTTATTTTATTTTTAAAGAACTACCATGAGGTAAAGAAAATTAACACAAGATGACATAAGAATTCTGCAACTAGGCAAGATGGCTCAACAGGTAAAGGCAAGAGCCGCCAAGCTTGACCTGAATTCAGTTCTAGGAACCCACATAGTGATGGAGAGAATCAGTCCCTGCAAGTTGTCTTCTAACCTCCACAGTGTGGCATGCACACACAGTGTCGTTTTGTTTTTTTAATTAATGGAACTAGTCCCAGGTATGGTATTATACACCTTTAATCCTAGCACTCAGGCAGAGACATATCTCTTGTGAGATCAAGGTCATAGTTGGAGACCAGGCTAGCCTGGTCTACATAGTTCCAAGCCAGCTGCAACTGCAGGGAAAACCTGCTTAAAGCACTCGGGAGGCAGAGGCAGGTGGATCTCTGTGAGTTCAAGGCCAGCCTGGTCTATATAGTTCCAGAACAGCTGGGGCTACAGGGAGACCCTGTCTCAAAAAGACCAAAAAAAAAAAAAAATTTAAAAAGTAGCAAACTATCCAAAGCATGCTGAAGCTGTGTTACAGATTATTGAGGACAATAAAATGAAATAATCTAGATTAAAAGAAAATTGGAATAAAAATGAACCATATAATCACTGAGATACATCATTTAAAGCAGAGTAGCACTTGAGGCGCAGCTAGTGAGAGTCAATAACCTTGAAGGTTGCATGTAGTCAGTTATTGTACAGTCAACCGAGAAGCCGCAGGGAAGTAAAGTAGAAAACAGACTTAGAAGTTTTAGAGGTTGTACTGGTTTAATGAGCTTTAAGCAACGAGGAAGTATCAAACTTGAATCCCAGGATTGCGTAGTTGAATGTTTGCTTAACAAGTGGTCCCTGCCAAGATAGGAAGGTGAATTTGCAAGCAAGAGCAAGAGCGATGAATGTTCTTTGAGCACTTGAAGGTCAGTGAGTCATCCAATTAAAGATGCCTTAGGAAAATAAAGCTAGCCTTTTGGAGTGCTACCCACTTGAGTGTCTTTCCTCACTACTGTTTCTTGAAGCCCTCAAACTCTAGAAGTTCTTATGTTGCAGAAATTAATATTTTGTGTGATTTACCTTGCATGTGGCCACTCTTGGTGTCTCAGAATATGCATGTTATGTGTATATAAAACAAACCATGGTCAGTAGGGCTCTGTAGGGTTAGTAGTTACGAGCATCCTTCTTTCTCTCCACCACATAAGTACTGCAGGGAGCTCAGAATGTGCTGGCTGTAGTCCAGGCAAGAGGTAATGGAAGCCAGACTAAAGCAGTCAGCAGGAAGGAAGTGGAGAAAAGACATTAAGAGGTAGAATTGGCAGTATTAATGATAGAGCAGTGCAGTGCTTTCCTCTCCTTTGTGAGCCTTGCCTCTGAAGGGAGGTAGAGAACCCTGCTTAAGTCATGGATTATCATATCCCATCTGGACTTCATTGCAATATATGATTATGGAAATTGAGGAAAAGGAGATTTAGTCATTTGAAAAACCATGTAGAGAATTACAGTTAAAGACAGAACTGTTTTCCCTGTGCATAATTATGGGCTTATACTCTCATTTTTAATCCTCTACTTCAGGTCCCTTTGGAAGAACCCCTTGAGCTGCCCAGGCTGAAACATGTTGCTAGTGTGAGTGCTAAATGGTCTGATACCACCCAAGAGCCAGGAAATGGCGACAGCCTTAGAGCCAGAGGACCAGGATCTTTGGGAAGAAGAAGGAATTCTGATGGTGAAGTTGGAAGATGATCTCACCTGTAGACCAGAGTCTGCCTTGCAGAGGGATGATGCTGTACTGGAGACCTCTCACCAGAACTTCCGACGCTTTCGCTATCAGGAAGCAGCAAGCCCTCGAGAGGCACTCATCCGACTGAGGGAACTTTGCCATCAGTGGCTGAGGCCAGAGAGGCGCACAAAGGAGCAGATCCTAGAGCTGCTCGTGCTAGAACAGTTCCTCACCGTCCTGCCTGGAGAACTGCAGAGTTGGGTGCGCGGCCAACGGCCAGAAAGTGGTGAAGAGGCAGTGACACTGGTGGAGGGTTTGCAAAAACAGCCCAGGAGACCAAGGCGGTGGGTGAGGAGGGGGAGTCCTGATCTGTGTGATGTGGAGGGGGCCTCTTTCCTAAAAGGCTGGATTTGGGGGGAGAATATACAAGGGCCCCATAAATTATCCTTTAAATTTAACTGGCTCTGCCTTTGGGATGCTTTTTAGATCCATGAACCCCATGGCGCCCCAGGAATGTATGTGTGTGTATGAGTGTGACTTTCTGCCTATGGACCCATTGAGGGACCTCAGCCACCTGAAGGTTGGGCTTCAGGTTTCTTTGTATGTTGAACCTTGAGTTCCTGGGAAAGCAACTTTTTTCATGACTTCCTCAAGGTTCTCCAAGTTCCTTAATATCAGACCCCCTTTCTGGGATGGTGAGGTGGGGAAGCAAACAGCAAGGAGAGCTGAAGTGGGAAGGATGGAAACCTCAGAGACCCAGGTATCTGGAGCAAGGGTTGAGAGATGTAGAAATTAGGACAGTACTGGTGTGTCCTATGTCTTGTCTTCTTGAAGATAACTTCTTCACATTGCCTCTGTGCAACTGGAATTTCCCCCTCATCTGTTCCCTCTGGGAGTTTTCCTCTACACCCCTTCTCCTAAAATAATACCTAATGACAACCAGGAATTTCCTCCTGACTGTGTGGTGACTGGAAGTTGAAATTATTCCCAGGTGACCGTCCATGTTCAGGGCCAAGAAGTTCTATCAGAGGAGACAGTGAACCTGGGGGTGGAACCTGAGTCCCCCAGTGAGCTGCAAGATCCAGCACAGACCTTGAACCCTGAGAAGTCCCATGAAGAAACCCTCCAGACCCCAGGTCTGGGGACAGTGGAACAGGAGAGCCGACACCATGAAGAGGAGCTCCAACCCCTGCAGGAGAGCAGTGGGAAGCCTCAGCAGGAAGGTGGGATTATGGCAGAGTGAAGTAGGAGTTGAGGGGAGTTCTGTACCACATGACTAGACAAATTCTAATGGAATGAAATCTCCATATTGAGAACAGACAGTACCGGTGAGAATCCCCTTCAAAATGGGACTAAGCTTAACTAGTGGTGTTCTTTTCTGCTCCCAGAATTCTGATTGGAATTATAGGTGGTAGTATTGGGATAACTCATTTTACCTTGGACCAGTTTCTTGATTCTTTTAACAGAGAAGTTAGGGCCAGTTTTCATTCAAAGATGATGGGGGTGGGGTGCTGGCGAGATGGCTCAGTGGTTAAGAGCACTGACTGCTCTGAATAAAACCCAGTTTTGGTTCCCAGCACCTATATGGCAGCTACAACCATCTGTAACTCCAGTTCCAGGGGATCCAACACCCTCTCTTGGCCTCTGCAGACATTGTATACACATTATACATGTAATCAAAACACTCATACATATAAAATAAAAATAAATAAAAATTTTTAATTAAAAAAAAGACAATGGGGGATGGTCAGCTCCTGTATTTCATGTTGCTAATCTTTGTCTTCTCTTCTTAGAGGTTCCAGTGTCCCAGGACCCACACCTTCCTACAGAAAGAGAGTCTGGACACCCAGAGATGGTTGCTCTTCTCAGTGCTCTGTCACAGGTACACCCTTCAGAGATTGTATTCGAAGACTTGGTGGGTATTAGTCATATGCTAAACAAACCAGGGATACATGTATGCACTCTCACAGTTTCAAGTTTTCAGTTCTGTGGGTATGTGGAAGAGGTGAAAAAATAACGTGATCAGTTATTAGTCATTGTATTGGTTACTTTTCTGTTGCTGTAATAGGACACCATGACCAAGGCAGCTTACAGAAAGAAAAGTTTATTGAACTTATGGTTCCAGAGGAATAAGAGTCCATCCTGGTGGGAGACATGGCAGGAGGCAGTTGGAGCAGAAAGCTGAATGCTTACATTTTCTAGCATGTGCAGGAAGCAGAGAGGCCAACTGGTAGTAAGATGAGGCTGTGAACTCTCAAAGCCCAACCCCTGTCTCTAGAGTGTCCACACCTCCTAATGGTTACATGAGCCTCCCCAAACAGCACCACCAATTGACTAAGTATTCAAATACTTGGAGCCTATGAGGGACACTTCTCCTTCAAACTAACACATTCTACTCTCTGGCCCCCATAGGTTCATGGCCATATCATAATGCAAAATACATTTAGTCCAACATCAAAAGTCTCCATAGTTTTCAACAGTCTCAACTTTATTCAGAAGTCCAGAGTCAGCCAGGCATGGTGACACATGCCTTTAATGCCAGCACTTGGGAGGCAGAGGCAAATCACTGTGAATTCAAGGCCAGTCTGGTCTACATAGCAAGTTCCAGGCCAGCTGGGGCTATAGGGAGACCCTGTCTCAAAATAGATCCCACCCTGCCACCAAAAAAATGTTCAGAGTCCAAAATCTTTTCTGAGACTCAAGGCATTCTCTTAACTGTAAACCCTGTAAAATCAAAAGACAAATGACATATTTCCAGAATACAGTGGAACTGAATTACATTCCCATTCCAGATGTGAGGAAGTCCTGGAATAAAGCGAGAACCCAGCAGAACACATAAAATTCTGTAGCTGTATGTCTGATGTCTGGGGCTTTAGTTCCAAAGGGCTTATATTGCTCTATTCCTGCAACTTTACTGCCTGCAGTATACATCTCTCCCTTGGGCTGGTTCTACTCCTGTACACAGCTCTCCTTGGTGGATATCTCCCAGCTCTGGCATCTCCAACATCTTGAGGGCTCTACTGCAACCCAGCCTTCAGTTTCAAGACTATACACAGTAGCCTATCAGGGCCTTCTTTTCTCAGGGACTCCCCTGCCATACACTGCCCGACCCTAACAGCTGTCTGAAACCACAGAGGAAGACTTTATTACCCCTTCACTCGTCATCCTTTATGCCTCCAAAGCTAGCACCAGGCAGATGACACTGCCAAGTTTGACTGCCAGCTTAGGATGGAACTTGGCCTTTTTGCATCACATTTGCAGCATCTTTTTTATGTTGTTGTTGTTCTCTAGGAGCAGAAAACCCCTTAGACTTTTTCTTTCCTGGAGTTGGACGTTTAACCGGGTGGGGTCTTGCCCTGGGGGCACTCTTTACAAAGCAGAGAAAGAAGCCTCTCCTTAATGGCACTCATCTCCTTATCAATAACAGCCTCTCTTCAAGGACATGCCTTGGCTGCAGCATGAAGCTTCCTGGTGTTCTCTTTCTCTCCAAACTGTACATTTTCTATTTCTTCTGCCTTACTTGCTGTTTTTCATTGTACATTGGCATAAAATTTATCAGTAATAACCAAGCCACATACTCAACATTAGGCTATCTCGAAATTTCCCCTGTCAAAGTTCATTCCCATTGTTGGTCTGCCTGCCTCTGTCTCCCAAGTGCTGGCATCAAAGGTGTGCACTTCTGTGCTCAGCTAGTTCATTACTTTTTAATTCAACCTCAGGCAAGTTCTTAGGCCTTGGACAGAATGTAGCCAGATTCTTTACCAAAATATCACAGGAATGACTCCTAACCCACTTGTCATTTAAGTCCTTGATTCTCTCTGGAACTATATTTCTCTCAGCACTGCTTTCTTCTGGGCTCCTATTTCAGCAGCCCATTAAGTTCTGCTTACAGCAATCAACCACTTTTCTAGTCCAAACTTCCAAAGTCTTCCACATTCCTCAAATCAGGTTCTTCACAGCAACAGCTCACTCTCTGGTATCATCTTCTCTATTAGTTGCTTTTCTGTTGCTGTGATTAAACATCATGACCAGGGCAATGTATAGATGGAAGAGTCTATTTGGCTTACAGTTTCAGAGGGATAAGAGTCCATCCTGGTGGGAAGGCATGGCAGCAGAGGTGGCTGGAGCAGAAAGCTGAGCACTCACATCTCCAAGCATTCAGAAAGCAGAGAGGCCAACTGGAAGTGAGACGAGGCTATGAAGTATGCCTACACCTCCTAAAGAGTCTATGACCTTTCCAAAACAGTGCTACCAACTGACCAAGTATTCAGATACTTGGAGCCAATGGGGACACTTCTTGTCCAAAGCACCAGAGTCATCTTTAGATACAGCATCCACAGTTTCTTGCCATCAACCAGAGGAACTAAGTGTGATTATTTTGTAATATTCTAGGACAACTTTAAAGCTGTGAAATGTGGGGATTTATGCTTTGTTTCTAGGAATGAATTTTTCAGTCATTTGTAGGAATGGCTGATAGTACTGCTGTGATATTTATGAAGCATCCCTCTTGATCTGAAACTGTGGCTTGAGAAGAAAGGAATAGAATTCACCATGGTTTGGGGTTGTAGTCTAACTGACGAAAAAAGAACCTTGTTTATGTTCTAACTGTAAGTGATAGTAAATGGAATTCTTCAGAAACACTTCCTAGAAAAGGATTTTCATAGAAACCTTCCATTAAAACACCAAATAAGGAGTCGAATGATGACCTTTAGACTTTTCTTAGGTTTAAAAAAATACTATAAAGAAGAATATATTTTGATGCTAAAGAAACACAATAGATTGGAGGAGCAGAAGCAAGGCCAGTGCTTTTCCCCAAAGCAGAACCTTCAAAAGCAGCCCCAATGGGAGACGCAGCTTCCCACAGGAGGGCCACTGCCTGTTAGTCCTCCTTTGGGCTCTTTGATGTATTCTGCCTTATATGACCTTCATCCCAAAACAAAATCAAAGGTTACCGGAAGCAGCACATATTGATTGTGATGTTGTTACAGGGACTGGTCACCTTCAAGGATGTGGCTCTGTGCTTCTCCCAGGACCAGTGGAGTGATCTGGATCCATCACAGAAAGAATTCTATGGAGAATACATCTTAGAAGAAGATTGTGGAATTGTGGTCTCTCTGTGTAAGGAGTTGCATGTGTTTTTACAGCATTCTAACCACAAACATCGTTTTCCTATTGAAAATTTGGGGGAATCTTAAACCTTAGAGTGTATGTACTGAACTTTTTCATATGTATACTAGTCCCCTCAAAATGAGACTAAAGGATTAGTTGGTTGGAGAAGATGATATCCTTCAAAGTGAGGGGATAAAGTTGCAGTGGTGTGACTACTGAGCTGCAGATGAAGGCCCAAGAACTGCAAGAGATAAGCAGTGCTTAGAGATGCTCAAGTATAAAAAGAACTGAGATTTGACCAAGTGACCTATATATTTGCTCCACAACTTACCAATCCATAATGATCTGCTCTTAACACAGAGAAGTGTAAACCAATCATGATGTCCTTTTTTCCATCTCTTGAGCAGCATTTCCAATTCCCAGACTAGATGATAACTCCCAGGTTAGAGAAGAAGAGCCTCAGGTCCCAGATGTCCATGAATCTGAAGAGCCCGAAGAGCCAGAAATCCTGAGTTTTACCTATACAGGTGAGGAATATCAGAAGGGTCTGACCACTGTAATTGGGCAATTCATCTAGGTAGTGCTTTTCTTTGCTCCCAGGACCTTTATCATTAATTCTCTTTTATTATTTTATTTCTTTCTTTGGTCAGGGTTTCAGTATGTAGCCCACGGCTTGAATCCAAGATCCTTCTGCTTCAGCCACTGATGGGATTACAGGCATGTGCCGCCATAACCCACTCCAGTGCTCCTTTAATATGCCATCCATTATATGTTTCCCTCTGAAAGCCTTTGATATTTTCCTCTTCTGCACCGCCCCCCCATCATTTGCTAACAGGAAATGCAATACAAAATGATGGGAGAAAAATAGGTAGTTTCTGGACGTATAGCTGTACTACATAGTTCACTGAAATACTTAATCCTCAATTTTCTGTGTTTGTAAATGTGGTTAAATGTCCATTCTAATGCTTAAGGTTGTTAGGACGTATTTATAAAGGCGGCAGCCCATAAAGGCTATCCATTCAGAGTATTTCCTCCTTTTCCTACTTCTACCTTTATGAAAGATCTCTTTCAGTATACACTTGCCCTCCAAAAGCACATGTTAAAATTCTTCTCCACTATAAAAGGTATTGATATCATTACAACTATTCTTACCCCTTCCATAGGAGATATGACTGAAGATGAGGAAGAGTGTGTTGAACAAGATCTGAATTTAGAGAATGCACAAAGGCCTATTTCAGGAGAACCAGAAATTCACCAGACTCCAGATTGGGAAATAGTCTTTGAAGATAATCCAAGTACACTTAATGAAAGAAGACTTGGTACAAATATCTCTCAAGTCAATAGTTTCACAAATATTCAGGAAACTGTGCCTGCCCACCCCATGATAGGGAGGCAGCATCATTGTACTGTATGTGCAAAAAGTTTCACATGTAATTCCCACCTTATTAGGCACCTGAGAACTCACACAGGAGAAAAACCCTATAAATGTATGGAATGTGGTAAAAGTTACACACGGAGCTCACATCTTGCCAGGCACCAAAAAGTCCATAAGATAAATACTACTTATAAGCATCCTGTAAACCGGAAAAATGTGGATGCCCCTCTGGTCCAGTCTGAGAGAACTACACGTGTAGAGAAACCCTATACCTGTGAGGACTGTGGAAAACATTTCCGCTGGACTTCAGACCTGGTCAGGCATCAGAGGACACATACAGGAGAAAAACCTTTCTTTTGTACTGTTTGTGGCAAAAGCTTCAGTCAGAAATCTGTGTTAACAACACACCAAAGAATCCACCTTGGAGGCAAGACCAACTTGTGCGGGGACTGTGGAGCAGACTTCAGTGACCACAAGCAGTATCTGGCACACAGAAAGACACACGTGACTGAGGAGCTCTACTTCTGCAATGAATGTGGGCGCTCTTTCAGCCATAGTGGTGCATTTGCCAAACATCTGAAAGGACATGCCTCAGTGAGGACCTGCAGGTGCAATGAATGTGGGAAAACTTTCAGCAGGAGGGATCACCTTGTCAGACATCAGCGAACGCACACTGGAGAAAAGCCTTTCACCTGTACCACCTGTGGGAAAAGCTTCAGTAGAGGATATCATTTAATCAGGCATCAGAGGATCCACACAGGAAAGACCTCCTAGCTAGGTCCTACGTGTGGAGAATTGTGTTCAGCCCTCACCCAGAATGGAATGGGAGGGGTTCTGTGGTCAACCTGAGAAGACCTTTTCTAAGGCCTCTCCCTGACCTTCCCATACCTTATGTAACCTCTTCCCACCACCAACAAAAGCCCCATCCAGAACTTCACAACTTTTTTCAACTGAGGCTTCTTCACTGGCATGCTCCTGCCTCTACCTCATGGGTGTGAAGTAGGAGGATTATAATTTATGAGATTTTGGATACTATATTTTGGAGAAAAATAATAACTAGGCTGTTATATATCCTCAAGACAATATACCAGCCTCAACTTAAGTGTGGCCAATAACCACTTAGGTCTCATAAGGGACCAGCCTAAAGGGATATAACCTTACTAGGCCCAAAACTTAAAGCACACAGCTCTAACTCCAGATAGGAGGTTTGTGTCCTGATATATCTGCCACACATTCACAGGATAACAACAAATCCCTCACTATCTAACTTCTTCACTGTATACTTTTCTTTGATGCTGGAGACAAAGGGGAAAGCATTAAAGGACAAAATCCTTAAGGCACATGGATCTTGGCAGGCTGTTCCCGTTGTCAGAACTACACCAAGTGCCATACACACCGCCACAAAAGAGGGCCTAGTTAAAAGCCTCTTAGGGGTTTTTGTCCTCCTATCTAAATACGCATATCTTTAGCCTTACTACTATTCACTGTCAGTTTTGTCCCTTACACTTCTCCTACAAGTAAAATATAGTACTGGAGTGCTGAAGAATTTAGAAAATCAGAATTAAATCATGGAGAAATCAGTTACATTCGCACATATGTTCAAGCCTACTCCCCTCCCCATTCATTGGGTTATGGAGGAGAAATGAAGCACTGTCAGCTTAGAAAGGCATCATGGCATTTACAGAATCATAATTTACTTGGTCACCTTATTTACATGAAGGAAATTAGAAAAGACCAAACTTTGGAAGAATATGAAAAAGCCGTTGCCACTGGCCAAGATCATTAGTGCTATTCTGACACCTGCCTCAACTATCCGTGCCTCAGTTCTCTGTTAGGGATTATGAACCCTACCAATAGGGACCCTGAGAAATCACCAAAAGTAAATGGATTTTGTGTCTGTGCTATTTGAGTTTTTTGTATGTGAGTTCATTTTTATGTACTAAGAACTAAAAGCATTTCTTTGTGGCCCAAGAGTCTCTTGCCTGTTTGCAGTTCCATGAGACTGATTAGCTATGAACTTCACATGCTCTGATCGTCTGGCAAGGATCAGGGAGAGACACTCCATCAATGGAGCACAGGATGTGGGAGGTATGGAATTAAAGCATGAGAAAGCAGATAGACCGTGTCTGGTTTCTCCTGTTAATTTCACAGTCTACTGTATATGAATGTACACAAGAGGAATACAGTGATTTTTTTAAAAAATATTTTATGTGTATGAGTGTTAGGCCTGCATGTAGGTAAGTGTACCCGCGTCGTGCAGTGCCCATGGAGGACAGAAGAGGCTGTCAGATCCCCTGGAACTGGAGTTATAGACAGTTGTTAGCTGCCATGTGGGTGCTGGGATTCAAACCTGGGTGTTCTGCAAGAACAGTCAGTGTTCTTAACTGCTGAGCCGGCCCTCCAGCCCTGGAATACAGTGATTTTATCGTTAGTGTTCTCCACCCTAACGATGAGGAAATTCTCTTACTGTGATGGACTGATTGAGTTTTAATACCAGTCAATCATTGTTCTTCTGAAAGTACATATGAAATAAGTAATACTTGCAGCTAAGTGCCCCAGTTTCCATTTTGTCTATTATGGTTTCAGGTTCCTAATGCTCTCTGAAGGTCGTTTTTACTTATTACCTAATACTTTGGACAGAATTCTTTTCCATACTAGTAAAGGCTTGGAGTTGTTAGCAGAGCTATGATTGGAACATGTGCACACACAGATTTAAGCCTGCAGATTCTAATATTCTGACATTTCTCAACTGTATATCTAAAGTGTAGTCAGAATTTGCCCTGGGAGAAATGTCACTGCCTCAAAACATAGTTTCATCTAGCTTATAATTATCTCCTTAGGAGCTGATGAAATCCTAGAAGAGACAGAAGGAATTAAATTTTCTCTGATTTGTCTGCTTGATTACAATAAGTAAAAATCTCAAGCCAACCTGTAAGAGAAAGTTTGAAACTTCTGCAGTTAGGTGAAACATGAGTACTTCTATTGCTGATCTCCCTGCAGAGTTGCTTGTGTTAGCCCCATATCTCTGGCCCCTTTTATAAATTACTGTAGTTTCTGTGATTCCCCAAGGAATGTTTTGGTTCCCACATGTGAACACAACTACAGTGGAGCAGTAGGGCCTGTGATGAAACCTAGGGTGAAGGAGAAACATTGATGCTAACCATGCGGACCAAGCACAGAATACTCGTCCTCAAGGGTCCACCTCCAGAGTTTGTGAAATCCTAATGTCCTTGAATATCATGAACAACCTATTATCAAGTTATAATGTCAGGCTCTTAACATTATTTGGAGGAAACTATAGTCTACCAAAACAGTGTCCTCATTGTTGAAACGGGAAATGATACATGCATAAAGATTTGACAAATCAATAAAGGTATTTGACAGTTATTTAAAAAGAACCAAGAATCATTCAACATTTCCACTACAAAGTACCAAGAGAAATGCCAAGACAGCAAGGCAAATAGACAAATATTAAACTGCAAAGTAGAAGCTGATGCATTCAGATGAACTCCCTGGAAACTTTTGTCAGTTGTATTAGTATCAAATTATTAGAGCCAAAACCTGCTTTAAAAACGTACACCCTCCAAAGTCCAAGTCAGCTGATGGATCTAATAAAACATTTAAGTCCCTTAGACTTCTACAAGTAGGAGTAGAAAAACAAGAGAATGCCCCCTGCTGGTTCCTGTGAGGTGGGCAGAGACCATTTGTCCTAGTCCTCCCTGCTAGGAGGGAGTAAGCTGACCTCCAGTTTACCCTGCTGCAGGAGAAATGGAATAATACTTACTACATTTAAAGGGCATTTTCATAAAACATTTCTAAAGGGATGACAGTCGAAATCAGAGTCAATGGAGCCCCACAGTGGCTTTGTAGAACTAAAGCTAGGCATGAATAATAACTGACGGCATGCTTGGTGGGTTAATGATTTGGTGTCTACACACCAATGTTTTATTAGCATATAAATTAAAAATGCTTTCATTGTGATATTTTCATGCACGTACATTATGTGATCTGATCATAGTAACATGTGACCCTTTCTTGTCCAAATTCCTACTAATCCTTGTCTCTTCCCTATTAGCCCTCTTTGTTATTTTCATATCTTTTGTGGAGAGACCTGAAGAGTTTAGCTGGTTTGTTTATAGGAACATAGGTGCAAGTTTGCTTACAGGCGCATGGGCACCTTAGCTCATGGGCTACAGCAAGGAAGACTGTAAACCATGAGTGCCTGCAGTAGAAGTAAAATAAAGCTAGACATACATAAAACGCTGATCCTCTTTGAAGTTTCGCTGACCAAAGCTGAAGTCACACAAACAATATGGACATTAACATTGTTTCAACAGAAATATAACAGACACCTCATGTCCATTTAGAAAAACCTAAAACAAAAAATAAACAGCAGGAGCTTCACCAATAGGGCCTATGACCTCACCAAACACAGGCTTTTGATCAGATTTACAGTACCAGGCATGAATTCCCTCCTATGGAGCAGGCATCAAATCCAACCAGAAAGTGGTTGATTACCCCTATCATAGACTTGCCATTATTGCTCCAGTGGCCTATCTTAGCTAGCTAATCAGCATTGTTGCATACAAGATCTACAGCTGAGTAAGACTATGGATGACACCCCCCCCCCCAGCAGCCTGAATAGCACCTTCTGGCACCATGAGGACTAGCCGGCAGGGAGGAAGCCCAGCTCAGTTCTAGCTTAATTTCTCTTATGTCATATGACTAAAACGTGTCATCTTCAGTAATAGGGTCTTACAATCTAGTTTTGGTGGGAAACCAACAAAAGTGACAATTCCCTATATTGTTTTGAGGGTCTCGGGGCCTCCTTGACCAACAACTCAGTGAGGTAGCTTGCCTTTGGCACTGAGGTTTTCGTTCAGTGAATGGCTTCTAGAAGCAGCTTTGTCCACCAATACAGGATACATTCAAACTCTGTTGGACAGAGTTTTGTTATATTTATCAACTTACCTAGTATCAAAGTTCCTTAGGGCCTTTTTTCACACACCATTAGTTTTGATTGGCCCTTCCCACTACTCCCTCCGTCCCCATCTCTGAGTTTCCACCTTCCCTACTTAAACCTTTGCACTCCCCATATCTCACCTTCCAGTTTCACCTCACATGCATTCTAAAATATCCCACCTTAAAGAATCTTTTCCCCTCACAGCCTCTTTCTAGTTTCCTGGATTCCTCACACATTCATTCCCACATATATGCACACACAAAAAATTAGAAAGCATGTGGTATTTGGCTTCCTGAGCATGATTTACCTCACTTTTGAATTATGTCCAGGTTCCTGTGGACTTCCTTTTATTTTTCACTACAGCTGAATAAAATTCCATTGTGTATATTGGTGCATAGGATTGTCCTCCAAATGGGAAGCTATGGACATACACCTTGTTCACAAGCTTGATTACACCTGCTTGCCTACAATCATCACAAACCTGTTGATGCTCTGCAAGAAAGGAGGGGTAGGGAGAGTCAGTCATACCTCCCAACCAACCATTCAGGGCCCTAGTTGCACAAGGGGGAGGGACTAAGGGTACCTAAGCTGAGGAAACCCGTACAGAAGCTCTCTCTTATTTTGTACAGCTGTTAGGAAGTCATGATCCATGCCTGGATAGAGACTTTCTAGTGTGACCTTGGGGTGGGGGGAAAACCCACACTCCTGTAAGCCCTCACCCACTGCTCCGTAAGTAAGCCCAATAAACTCCCTGGTTTCCTAGACTGCAGTTTGGAGAAATTGGACCTTAGGTTGTCATAAGGACCAAGGGAAAAGGGGGACTGGATGTCATCTGATT